TCATGTAGTATCATCCAAATGAGTTTAAAGTGAGCTATTTTACTGATGGTCCATTAAGTACATTAAACTAATAATGGAACAACATGTAGCACTAGTTGTCCATGAGTGTTCAAACGCTTTTAAATAGTAATTGTTTCTTTTTTTTAATTATCCTTATTAAAAATAAAAATAAAGTAATTTTATTTTAAAATTTGTACATAATTCGATTTAACGTTTATTAAACATTTAATTGACATATTATATAAGTTTAGAAGGGTATCAACTTTATTTTTTTAAATTGTAACACATGTATTTAACTAGATTAAAAAATAGAAAATAATCTAATTAAGAAAATGACTGGTGGTCGATAGAAACTTTTGGACGAGTGTACTAGAATTCATTAACTTAAACAATTTTAAGTAAAACTGTAGATTTTTTTATTACTATCATTTTTAGGCCGTTTTCTCCGTCCTGCCTAGGTAAAAAATTGAGAATAACATCCAAAGTGCTTAATCGACCAGTCATTTTTTAATTAGATAATGTTATATTTTATAAGTTAATTAAATGAGTATGTTATCACATAAAAAAAAAAGTTAACACCTCTATACGTTATAAGGGATGTCCCTAAAAATTAATTATTAGCTGATAAATCAAGAATTATATGTAACTAAAAGAAATCAAAAATTATTTTTCAAATATTGTAATTATTTTGTGAGTAAGCAATTAGTTTATGATAAACCGATCACTCCGTATATATTTTTTATTGAAGTTCATTTTAAAACTAGTAATGATTATTAGTTAATAATTAAAATAATCTAAAATGTGTTATATGTGTAAAGTCGGATAAGTCTCAAGAAAAATTAATTGTTGCTTTTAATAAACATTTGAAGTTATTTTTTTTGAGGCACAAGAATACTTTGTATTCATTACTAAATTTTTTTAATAGTTTACTAAATTTATGTAAAAGTAGAAACCTCGAACAAAATTATTATTTTCTTTATTATATACACATAGTTAAATCAAATGTTTGTCGAATAAATAAATAAGTTTAAACTGCTACTATAAAATAAATTAATCGTTTTAAAATGCAAATTTCATTCCTAGCATGTAATTTTAAATACTACAATTCTTAGTTTAAATAAATAGTTTTATTTCTAATTATCAAATCTGATAAATGTAATACTAATATAATTAAAAATATAAATTCATTTGTAACAAATGTCTTGTACTGATGTTATGACCTGTGTTTAAATTTAATTTAAATACATTAATTTGATCAAAATTTGGTTATTATTTGAAAACGGTCGACAGTTGGACAGCAATATCGTATAGTGTGGACGAATCGTGGTATGCATTTGTCACATTTGGATGCTATTACCTCAGTGGATTTATGAGATACCCTACCTCCCATATTAATAATAGTATTTTATACGATACGGACAAAGAGTACAGGGATCGATTTTCCAGTTTCCAGCCGATTTGTCAATGCTCACTTACCTAGTAAATTTCGTACATGTAACAAACGGAAACCGGGAAATGTTGTGCTTTCAAAGGTCGGTTGGATTGTTGCGAGTGTTTTGTCTTCTGCAGTTTTGTACTATGAACGATTTATCATCGTCGACTGATAAAATTCAAATTTTCATTCAGAAGATTTATGTTTTCAGATTTTGTGATGGAATAATATCTTTTGAATTAGCAATAAATCAAGTTTTTTATCACTTCTGTCTAAAAATAAAGCTCATTAACATTTAATTTGATAGCACTAAATTATATCATAAAACCAAAAGCCATATTTTACTAATGGACCGTTGGTATTTTGCCTTAGTTCAGTTTAAATCTAGTCCGAATAACAATTCGATCTAGATTGACATACATTCCATAAGTATTAATTAATTATATTCTTCTGGTTTAAAATTGATCTATTAATGGGATCAAGGTCGTTCAGTGATATTATTGATTACATTTATTTATAGCCGCACTTTACATTTTTAACAACATATTCTTAATAGAGCAACTACCTTGGAGTGGTCATAAGTTGGTAGTTTATATCGAAAAGTTTATGATTTAATTGATTCAAATTTAACGTTGTATATTTACCGTCAGACCTGAGACGCACCTTTTTTATGTCCTTATATAATTGTCTAGTCGAAAATATGCATGATGTAAACACTAGGACACTTTTAAATACATTAACCAGTACAACCATTGATAATGAATCAACTAAAGATTGAAAATGATCTGTTGTGGAATGTAAGGTCTATCCTGCAGCTACTAAAATTAATACAGTTACGAAATTTCTGATACAAACGAAATTTAAGTGTATTTATTTTGATTAAACAAGGTTACACTTATATTGTTATTTATATTGGATAATTTAATATATTATGTAGCCTTTTCACACTCAAATTTTCATTTTATATTAAAATGGCGCAGCATTAATATTGTATTGATGAGTGACACTGGAATCAGCTTAATAACTATTTTCTGAAAAATTTGTGTTTAATTTTCAAAATGTTTAACTAAATATTTAAAGAAAAAATTTGATTTAGTTTTGTCAGCATCATATGGTGTTTGAAACATTGTTTTAACTTCAAAAATGTAATTCAAATAAAAAAAATGACGGGAATACAAAAGTGTAACAGCGCTATGAAGGGATTAAAACATATATTTATACTTATGAAGGATCATTAATATTTATAAATGAATTAAGTAATTAATATATCACGAATGTTTTTTATTTACAATTTATTTATGAATCAATTTAATATTAATTCATACATTGACTTATGAACAGGTATTAAACTTAATTAATAAAGTGTAAAACGTATAGTTTGAACATTATATTTGCTATCAAAATTTTAGTTGTCAATTAGTATCAAATTTAGTTTTGTACATTGTTTATTAATTTTTTTGTCATAATATGTATTCATTTAAACCTTATTTGTAATAATTTGTCAACATCATAAAGTATTTACTCATAAAGATAGGTAAACTATATATGTATGTATATATAACTATTGATTTTGAAAAATTATACCGGCACACACAAAAAAAAAAGTTGTCTGTACTTTTGATCGGACCCATCTACGGACATGTATTTTGACCAGATGAATCCGATTTTGAGTTCATTTGGCCCGGTCACCCTTCAGATTTGAGTAAAATGCAAAAAATAGGCCAAAAATTGGGAAAAGCTGCAGTCACAGCGATGAAAAAAATTTTGTGGACCCTGATCAAGTATGATTTTTATGTATTTTATCATACTGAATTTGAATCTGAAGTTTTCTTGTCCTATTAACGTTTTAAAATTAAAAAAAATCTCAAAAAAACAAAAAAGCAGGAAAATTGTAGTTATAAATATGAAAAAAAATTTATAGAACACGATTAAATACTTTTCTTGTATTTTTTCACGCATAAAATAGGAGTTTAAAAAATGAAAATATAAAAAATGGTAATATTTATAAAAAAAATTACTAGAATGAAGAGAACGATATTTTCGAATTTTAATCTCTTCATACACAAGATTTTTATTCCTTAAAAACAAAATAAATTGCAAATCAGATTGCTAATTACCTTATGATTTTAGTAAAAATAAAAAATAAATTTTTTTTTTGATTTTGACTTACTAAAAATAAGGTTTCAGTATATGATATCATATGATACCATCGTGCAATATTTGAAAAAAAAAAAATTCATATTATTTAATTTTATCAAACATACTTATTCTATATTAAAAAAAAAAAAAAAGA